TTGTTGCTAAGTGCTGTCAAGTCGACTGATAGCAACGCCTATATAGGGTTTCCAAGGAACAGCTGGTAGGTTTGAACTGACAACCATGTGGTTCACAGTCCACATCAGTTATTAAAGTAAGTGTTTACCAGTGGCTCTTTTCCTGCAACTGGTAACAATAATCCCTTTCCCATTCCTACCGACATTAAACATTTTCCCCGCCTTTGAGAACTTTCTACAGGTTCCTCTCTCCAACTGTGGCTCTCTTTCATTCTACAGGAAGTAGATTGTGTAGAATCTCTAAATGCAGGTACAGCAGAGGGGTAGATAGAGCCCACTGGTTATTTTGGAGCACTGCTCTGTGGATGTTATATTCACATGAATTAGCCTTGGACAGCATGGTCCTAGGGAATCAAGTACAGATTTAGCTTACTTATATTCTAGACACTATACAGACTCTCCACTATGCTAAATGCAAGTGTGAGAACAGGAACATTTATAACATGTTAAAATTTCTAATATTGCAGCCTATCATATGTTGGTGCCAAAGATCTACTAGTAGCAGATCGAAGAACAGATGGCTATATGGGTACAGTCCTTCTCCAATTAAAAACAAGGAGTGTTGTTTCTGGGACTATCTGTGGTCAATTTCCCTATTGATTATTCAAGACTCAAAGACAAAGTCTCACTTGCTAAAACATCCTTTACATTTCAAAGTGTGTCTTCTTTTAGCTAAATCTTACACCATTATGATTGGTCCCCTCATCTCCTCACTCTGTTTCTCAGGTTTGGGAGGAGGCTGAATCTCAGATGGTGTTTCCTTCTGATGGCTGTTGCTGATACGTGTGTGGTCTTTGCTCCCTCCTTCCCTGTTTACTGCTTGCTGCGCTTCTTGGCTGGGTTATCTACCACAAGCATCATGACAAATAGTATTTTGCTCAGTAAGTCAACATTTTTCAGTTTTCTGCATTTTCTAAGCCTTGGCTTTGACCTAGAAATCCCACTTTTAAAATAAGTGAGTAATAATATTAATAAAACCACTTTTTTCTTTTTCTTTTCAGCAGTAGAATGGTCACTGCTCAAGTTCCATGCCACAGGAGTGATGCTGATCGTATCTTCCTATAGTATTGGACAGATAATCCTGGGAGGCCTGGCCTTTGCCATTCGAGAGTGGCAGACACTCCAGTTGGTGGTGTCGGTACCAATATTTGTCCTCTTTCTTTCTTCAAGGTATAAGCGTTCTCTCTTCCTCTTCCTTTGCCTTAGAGTACCAGCAGATAAAATATGAGGGCCTTCAAAAAGTTCACAGGAAAAAGAGTTCCATTTTTTTAAATGAACTTTTTGAAGCCCCCCTATGTACATAAGATCAGGACACTTCAATTCTGTTTACTATTTGGTTGAGACTTGAGTACATGATCTGCTAATCTGGGTTTTCTGTACAATTTGAGGGCAGAACAGTAGGGTTGGAGATAATATTGAGGACACTCAGTTAAAGATGAATATTATATAAACAGCATTTTGTTGGCATAATTATATCTCAAAGATTTCACAAGACATAATATTACTAAGTAGCTCTGGTAGCAAAGTGGGTTACGAGCTGGACTGCTAACTGAAAGGTTAATAGTTTGAAT